TAGCCCGTATCTGGCGTTTTGCAGGTCCGAATCGTTTACAGGAGATCGAAATACCTCCGCTGACAAACTTTCCGCTGAGCCCACCCCCGGGGAAATTTTTCGGCCGAAATGTCGCCTGGGTTTCGAGGAGTGGAACAGGAAAGGGTTAATTATGCCCTTTTCTTGGATCTCTTGACTTTTCACATTAATTTTCATTGTTTCAGCTACAGCGCTTGCCTGTCTCACTGCTTTCATCCGAAAGTATCTCAACAACTTTTTCCTAAAGGATAATTCTGCTGTGATCCAAGGTGAGCATTCGTTAAACGTATTCATTTCATAACACTTCATGAGCACGAAGCGTACTGGTTGCAGAACAACTGGCTGTATTCAACCATCTGCTGGCTTATGTCGATGCTAAGTTGTATACTCGGTTGGCTTCTATGGAGTTTTATCCGGAACTGTTTGCTATACCATGGTTTCTCACGTGCTTTGCCCATGTCCTCCCCATACATAAATTGTTTCACATTTGGGATCAGCTGCTGCAAAGAGATTCGTCATTCCCCCTTTTTATAGGTACCTTATAATGAACTTCTGTCATTTTTCTTTTTTTTGATCTTTGGTTTTTTTTCAATTCATTTGAGAGCGCAGAGCGCTTCATACTTCTCCATTACAAGGGACTTATATGAACAGAACTTCGGTCTTTAGTTCTTTTTTGGGATGCGCTCCACTTTTTGGGATAGCCTTTGTATTTGTCAAAGACCCTCCCCATCAAGTGAATATTATAAGACTTGTCGCACTTGCAGTCCCGAAGACCAACTGTTCTCTCCCTTCCGTGGGGATACTTTATCAGTCATGTAGAGGCTATGGGCGAGGTCACTGGGTCTGCAGCTGTGGTAGCGTGCCACGCAGCTCGAAAGTACACAAGGACGGGGCTGGAGAGTAGTAATACCCTGCTGTCGTCCCCATACTTTGCCTGCGCTGCCACACGGCTATCCACGCGCCAATCACTGCCACGCGCTGCGTGTCTGTACCCCCTCTGTTCTCGTTGTTCTCCACCACTGAGTGCGTGTTTCGCTGCGGGACTTTGTTATCGACGCCAATGCTGCCCTTTGAAAACAAAGTGAGTGGAGAGTGGAAACGGCATGCGGGTATCACTAGCCTTCAGTCCTCAACCCGTGCAATTTTGTGCTGTGAAAGTGGCACGCTACTGCAGTTGCGGTGTTTATGAAGTCGTAGTTTTGTTTGAAGTGGTTTTGTACTCTACCGTTTTTGTGTGGATGTAAGGATGGGAACTGGTGTCCGCTTAATTGCATAACATTGGTGCTTCTCATTTTCAGGCTTGGCTATTCTACGTCAACTTCGTCCTACCCTCATAGATGCTTCCTTCAACGACGCGATATTGTTGTTTTCTGACCTGCCAGGTGAGCGCGATCTAGCTATTTGTAACTGTGAACCAGGCCAATGTAGTTACATCGTAAACATGTAAAGTTTAGATCTATCGATGGAAGTAGTCGTCTCCGATTCTGTGGCATACTATGATCGCGTTCCTCCGAGTTGCGCTTTTCGCTCACACGCCACTGCAAGTAGTAAGTTTTTTCTTGGCAGTCTGCGTACTATGAGGTTTAGAGTGAAAACAATTCAAAAGGGTATTATACTATGTATAGTGGTATATGTAGGTATAGTATTGATCGCTAGGAGAATGAAATATTTTGAGATTTACGCCGCGAAGTTTCTCTTTTGCGGTGGACTCAGATTTAGGCGGGGTCGATACGGTAGTTTGCTCCTCATGCCACGCGAACTATCAGCTACTGATTTTAATAACTTATTCTCCCACAATTGACCTCTTCTTTTGACAGTGCACGAAGGGACGTTTTTGTATTCTGAGATAATTTGACCTACTCAACGTAGTTGAGTTTGGCTTGAAAGTGCCTGGAAGAGGCGCCAGAACGTCTCTGGAGTAAGTAACACATTTGTTTGACCCGATTTCCGAGGGGAAAGTACCGCACGAATTGAACACTGAGAAAATTTTATCTTTAGGATATGTTCAATAAACCCGAGTTCACTGACTTTATCCGATTTTGAAGACACTGTGCGCTTACCTCAGTGGATCATGTTCCCTGCCATGTGTAAGGTCCATGGATCTGTATTTGCAGTAGCGCACCTTTTTCTGCGCTCAAAACTGCATGGAATCCAGGCAGGGTGGTGATAACCCGGTGCCGACCATACTCCGCCTCTCGCTGCTCCGCGGCCTACCACACGCCTGGTCGTAGCCAAACATGTCACTTGTCTGCGCCCTCTCACTTCTTGTTGTTCTCTACCGCTAAGGGCTCCGTTGCGCGTATGCGGCGCGGTTTCTTCACGGCACCGCGGCGACGGGCGGGCGAAGGGTGATCGCTTGCGCCTCCGCCACTGTGCTTCAATCAGAAGCCCCTTTTATGCCCCATTATGTGGAAGGAGGAGGAGAGAAAAGAGGATTGAACAAATAGTGAACGCTCATAGGTGAGTTAGTGGTAATGGTGAGCAGAGAATACAGAAAAGTCGAGAATCAGAGCGTATTATTTCAGTCAACAGCGGAACTGGCAGAATGATTCCCTTCGAATGGGACGTGACGTTATAGCGTTATAAGGTCACAACCAACTGTTGGCAATTTGCCAAACCTCAGCTTGAACTTTCGTGTAAAAGCTGCTTGCGTCGTTTTCACAATCGAAGGGAACTATGCCGCCAGTTCTGCCATTCACTGAAGTAATTCGTGATAGTCGACTTTTCTGTGATCTCCTACCACTACCACTAACTCACATATGCATCCACTATCTGTTCAATTCCCTTCCTCTCTACTTTTCCTCCTCTTCCTTCCACATAAAAGAGGCTGCTGGATTGGAGCACAGCGCCGGAGACGGGGCCCGGCCACCGCGGCGCCGTGAACGAACCGCGCCGCATACGCCCATGGGTGAGTTTTTCCCTCCTCCCACCGCTAAGTACATGTTTCGTTGCGAGACCTTGGGATGCGCAAGTCCTGCACTTCGAAGACTGCGCAGGTGGAGTGTGAGACAGCTACCCGGTACCACAGCCCTCTAACGTGCCGGTACTTTTTTTGAGCGGAGAAGCTGGCACACTGTTGCAGCTGCGGACCCATTCACCGCCCACATGGAAACGGCGTCCTCGGAGGTGGGTGTACAGTTCAAATTTAAATAATCGTAAGATTTTTCAGACACTCCAGTGGCAGCTCCTAGAGGATTGCCATGCAGTCTTCGGCCTGTTCCATACAAAGAAATGAAAAAATGGCATTGTCCTCGACTGTCACGGGAGGAGTTTGCATGGAGAGTCACCGATCAGTTGATCGTTGCGATCGACATTCGTCCTCAGATTGAGTGAGCTTTTTGTCGATTACCCTTCCTACTAGACTGCGGTTTTTTCTGGTTAGGATGGAGAGAATGGTAACGGAGAAGGATTCCAAAGTCTGCAATACTTTGAATTCAGGTTTGGGAGAGGCTGCGTTCTGCGCTCAATCAACTACCCTAATGTAAATGACAAGTCGTTGCTGAACATTGCTGAACCAATGAAACTCGCTCAAAGAAACCAGCATCCGATTTGCATTGTTGGTGGAAAGGATGTCGATATAACTAAGAAGGTTTGGTCTATTTGCGCTATTAGTGGATAAGAGTTGACAGAATCGATATTTTTCTTAGCTCCTTGGTCTTGTTACTGTAGGTTGAAAAAGAAGCTCTTCTTCCTGCTTTGCATTACACTGTGAACACTGTGACATAATTATGAGGGTATGTTGCTCCAAGAATGAGTTACTTGGAGGTGCGCTCATGCGTGAAACGGTGGAAGTGATATTCAGCGAAAAGATAAATTTCATCTGCAGTGATTATAGATCGTTTGTTTCCGTTCGCTCCACTTCTGGGGGATTTTTTTGGTATGTCTCCAATTGAGTGTGACTCGTTAATTACCGTTGCGACTTGGGCCATCCAGCAGAGTCTTCCTTAGTTACTTGAGATGATACGTTGGAGAACTGCTATGCTGAAACAAGTAAATCCTGGTGCAAATGACGCGCGCGAAATCCTTGCGACATCTCTGATCTAGTTAGTTTTTTATCTAGGGCTAGACTTGGCATCCGTCCATTTGCGCCGCAGATGCACTTGTAAGGGGACTACTGACTGAAACTCGAAAATGAAAACTCAGCTACATTTTCGTTGGATATAACCATCGGAGAGTAACGTTCATAAAATCCACTTAAGAAGACTGTTAGTACACTTCAAAAGAAAGGCTTCCATGTGGAGGACGTACGAACGATTTCTAAATTGCCCTCTTTCGAAGACTGTGTCTGGTCCTATAGAACTGCTCTTGTCTGTGCGAGTCGCAGGACGAGGTGTTGTAGTGGCAAGTGGTACGCTGACCACGCGCGCAGTCTGTGATCAAATATCGGATCGGCTACCACCCAGACCAGTCTAGCCTTCTACGCTCCCCCTAGGCACGGTGAATTTACCAGATTCATCTGGGAGGATGAGAACACTAACCTGTACATCGGCTGGCCCCCGTAGTTTATTGTATATTCCACATCGTGTACAGTAAGCCTTTACGGTTCTGAATGGTCCACCGAAGACTTTATCCTTTACTTTAATAGGGGAGGAGTCGCAAGCTAAGTGTGATCGTATCATTCATCCTTGTGCTAGCGTGTGGTGAAGGACGATGTCCCGTTTCTCACTGCACCGGTGAGAGAACGGGGATGAAAAGCGAGATTTCTGCATCAAAGATACACATCTTCTCTGGCTTCACATGAGAGCTTACTTGATGCCAGTAGGTAGGACTGCTGAGGGTGGATGTTTTTCGCTAACGTCGTTAGTGTAAGGGCTGACGAGGAGGGAGGGGGTTGTGGCCAAACGCCTCCTCGCAGCCCTTCCAGATGGTGCTGACAACAATGGCCCGTCTCCAGCAATTGAGCCCACTGCCTACAGAGAAAATCTGAAATTATCAATGATGTCGTTAACCTAATTTGAAGTCCCATAGTGCTTTCCTATTCCAGTTCTCTGCTGATCTGGTGAATCTCGGAATTGATGGCATTTGCGTATTGGATGGAGGCTTCGAGTCGATTCGTCATGATACGTCACTTATTCACGTACCTCATTAGTTCTTATTGCCTAGAATGCCTTCACGTACGGTGCCCAGTCAACCAACAAGTTATTTTTTTTGTGTTCGACGTTGATTACCTTGAGAGTTTGCACAATATATAAGTATCATTATCTGTTCGTCACTTGATCTGTGTTAATAACCTTGCGGCATTTTTACGTTCTTCTAGCGTGTTGAATGAATTTTCCATAAAAAGAAAACTAGCTACTTGCTAAAGTTTGCTAACTGCTTAGGCAGTGCTTCAGATGCACGAGACCGACAATATGGAGAGCTGAGGAACAGCTGGGTTTAGGGGGCATCTTCCTTGGGTGCTCGGATGCCTATACTAATGGCTCTTTTGTTAGTTTTCTAGCGTTCCAGCATACACTGATTGCAAGGTTAAAAGCGTTTTGTAAGGCAGCATTCAGACTTGTAGCGCTACAGCGTAGCGCTACAGCGCTTCGCAACGTACTGCTATTTCCAACGTTAGGATGATTAGAGTTGCTTACAGAGAAAAGTGGGAAGGTTGCTGGAGTTTTCTTGAGAAATTCACGGAAAGGTGAGACTGATACAGCTGTAACTATCTGACGCCATCCTTGACAGTTACTCCACTAGTCTTTATTTTTCTGGTACTTTTAGCGTAACAGTGTCCTTCTATCCTATTAAGAGCATT